TATATATATATATATATATATACTTTCTGAGTTTTCTTACATATGATAACTTAAGAGTTTACGCTGTATGTAGTTGGAAATTTTTCACATTATGAGACCCAAATATGTAGAATCTACAGTTCACTAAAGAATGAACAACAAAACCCTAAACCCTCAAAGCACAGTAATAAAAAACAAACCCAGAGAACCCCCTCCAAACAAAAAGAGCATATCAAACAGAAATAGCAATCCAGCAATTCATTCAAAATTCCACAAGCCACATCAAAAACCATTCAATAAAAATACCAGAACTCAACCAATAAATTAAAAAGATATAAACTTGGTCCATCTCCTATAAAGTTTCACATCAAAAGTGTACAAAAACTCTTAACCCTTCACACCATAGTTAAAAAAAGAAAAATTCCAAACAACCCCCAACAAGAACATATCAAACAGAAAATCTATCAATAACCCATCAATATATTTCATTGATTTTGATAATTCAAAACAGCGGCAGTCATATATCCGAAACTAATACCAGAAATCGATCAATAAATTAAAAAAGATACAATCTTTTTGGGCTTCTCTTTCATATATGCACAAATTGAGAAGATTTGCTTACTCTTAGAAAATGGGCATGTGGGAAATCAGTAGAAAGATGAGAAAAGACTTGGTCCATGTGCTTAGAAGCTTCACACCATGATGCCCAAAAGTGCAAAATCGCCGGTGATCCATCGGCGACAATCTTATCAAGCTCCGTCTTTGATTGAACTTCCTTCACTGATCCTCCTCCGCCCATTCTCGATTCTTTCAGATTCTCTATTTCTCTATGAGAAGTGAAGTAAATACCCTCAAAGAACAATACATCCAAGAAAACGAAATTTCTCCTCTTTTCTGCTGTTTTATAAAAGCCTAGTTCTTTTTCCCCTTTCTTTCATATTTTTTTTTTTAAAAAAAAAAACATAAAGTGAATAATATAACCTAATTTTGAACTTTTATTAAGATATTACACGTTTGATCATAGGATTTGAGATCGCAATTTTAAAACTTTGATTTATCTCTTAAAATTTCAGTTTCAATTCTAAATCATCATTTTAAATCTTAAATTCTTCAAATTTTAAATTTTATAAAACATATTAGTATTCAATGTGAAGAGATTGTTCTTCATACCAATGTAAAGAATTATATTAAAGAATAGTTAGTTACTACTCCCTTCATTCCATATTAGTTGATCGCTTTTCATTTTGCACGGTACTTAAGAAATTATTTAGATAATTTTATAATTCACCCCTTAAGAAACTTTTTGAAAATTTTACAAATAAATGTGAACATTTTTAACAAAAAATTAATTGCAAGGGCAATATAGAAAAAAAATAGTTAATGTTTCTTTTTTTATTTAGTAAGGTGGACAACTAATATTAAACAACCATTTTTAGTATAATTATTAACTAATATGGGACGGAAGGAGTATTATTGTTGGCTAGTTGATATTTGTAAAAATATATGTGTATATATTAGTTTGTAATAATATGTAATTGTAAGTATTTATTTATAAACACCAAAAAAAAAAATGGAAATATGTGATTTATCAATATGGTGTGTTAAAATATATCAATACTTTAATTATAAGCTATAATTTTATTCATTTGATAAAATTGTCTAAGAATTGGGCAAGTTTTGATAATTTTATAAATTATGAGACTTTTATATTTACGAAGAAAAATATATAATTCAAAAAATTAAAATTAAATATCTAACAAAATTTCAACTTTAGATTAACGTAATTTTAAATTCTTTTTTCATATCATAATTTTAAATTATTAATTTAATATAATAATTTGAAATCCCGTCCAAATGGGCTTTTTAAAAAGGGAATGGTAGATTTCAAAATGAAAAATAAACAACTTATTTGAGTAGCTTACTGAATAATGAAAAAAGTGTTTTAAGTTTGTCATAGAAAAAAATAAAAATCAATTAATATGATTAATTTAAAAGAATTCTAATATCCAATTAACCGAACGGCGTTACAATTTTAATGCTATAAATAAAAATATAAAATACTGGATATTTCACTTATAATAGTTAAGAAAGTTCATCTACACTCTAAAGTAATGAATCATCTTGTGAGCTCAACTAGTTTGGCTTCTCCATTTAGTAAAAATAGGAGGAGTACTTGTCTAATCGTGACCTCGATTAGTTAGTTCAAACATTTTTTTTAATCATATGATATTCAGAATACACTTATCTAATTAATTTAGATTTATATTCTGCGTGATCAATTTACGAAAACTCCCTACTAAAAGTTTCTTCAATCCATTTCATTTTATACAACTTGACTAATTTGACTGGTTTTTTCAATCCCTTAGAGCATAGTATGTCAAAATATATATGAACTTCATGTTTAAAATCTTGATAGTGGAAATCATATGTATTGATCTTTGTAGTTTCATTTCTTTTTAAATTAAATGATTAGATTCTCTAGAATTATCTTATCTTTTTTTTCTAGTATTTTATTTCACTTTTAGGCTAATTTTTCAATCCCTTAAAACATAGTATGTCAAATATATATGAACTTCATGTTTAATATCTTGATAGTGGAAATCATATGTATTGATCTTTGTAGTTTCATTTCATTTTAAATTAAATGATTAGATCCTCTAGAATTATCTTTTTTTTTGTTTGAGTATTTTATTTCACATTTAGGCTAAGAAATCGTTGTGTACTAAAATTATGAGATTATTTATTCCTTCTAGAAGTGGAATAACATAATTTTACAGAATATTTTGACCCATAAGATATTTTTATCTATCCCATCCCAATAACCAAACGGCCTAAGTACTTCAGATATAGTGAACTTCAACCAGACTATGCACTACATAGGGCAATTTTTTTTGTTTAACCATCGATATGACTAATCAGAATTCAGGCCGGGTAAGCCCAGTGATCTGTGGACATTACACACATTGACACAAGACTTAAAAATCTGTTATTGGTGCAATATGTGTAGGATCAATTTTTATTATTCTTTTTCCCTTTCCATTTCTTGATCTCCATAGTAACAGATTTCTTTTTTTTTTTAAGCATAACAAAAGTTCCAGATAATGTAATTCCCATAAACTGTAATTGAGGTGAGACAAAATTTTGTTTTTTGTTTTCCTCACACCAAGTTCATGTTTCCAACAAATTAATACATGCAACCTTAAATGTTGCCTCAGATTTGCCTTTTTTCTGGAGATGCTCCAATTGTGTTAGGAACTTGTGGCCTATATATACCCTTGCGTTGTAATAGTACAGCATCATCAATAATCAAATCAAAGTTTTTTCTTAAATAAACTTAGCTAAAATGGCAGCTCCAACATGTTTTCTCATTTCTTTTATGGTTTTGCTAAGCTTAGCAATATGCTCTGCCCAGCCTATTGATGTTCACACTAAGCCTATGGAAGTTGATCATCATCACAACCACAAAGCTCACACTTTGAGTAATATCGACGTCCAAGGCTTTGGAGGAGGAGGCAGTGATGGCGGATCAGGCATTGTTCGTGGTGGATTTGGCATTGGTGGTGGCGGAGGTGGATTTGGTGTTGGTGTTGGTGTTGGCGTTGGCGTTGGTGGTGGTGGGGGTGGATTTGGCATTGGCATTGGTGGAGGTGTCCCTGGCTACAATGACCCTGGTTTTGGTTTCCCTATCTATATACCTGGCTTTGATTTCCCAGTCTATTCCCCTGATTGTGGTTATGTGTGTCTTGCTAATAATCCTAGAGGAGAAATCACTGAATTCAAAATCTCAGGATTATCACACTTCACCAAACCATACAGATGCAGGCCAGGGCCAAACATGCGCGGAGACAAAGATTTTAACCATGAACTTCTTCTAAACTTTGTTTCTACAATGCAGGACAAACAAGAGAACAAACATGAACGTCTACACTATGGAGGACACGGTGGAGATGTAGGCCTCCGAGTAGGGGGAGCTAGACGTTTAGGATTTGGTCGTGGTACTGATACCTCTGATCAGTATGCTAATGAGGACCCTGGTTGGAGTATTGAGGGCTGTGGTTATGTATGTCCAGGCAACAGTCCTAGTGGAGGAATCACTGAATTCCATATATCAGGAATATCACATTTTAGTGAACCTTACAGATGTAGCCCAGATATGTGTGACACTGAAGAATGTGGTGAATTTCTTCTACGCTTTGTTTCTCCAATGCATAACAAACACGAGAACAAACATGGTCATCAGTCAGAGAAGCAAGACAAACATGAGAACCAACATGGTCATCAGTCAGAGCAGCAAGAGAAAGAAATCACAAACGATATCCCCGACCCACCCACACCCCAATCCTGAATCCAAGAAAAAGAAACTTTATATGTAATAATGTTATGTACCTTCAGCCAAAAAACAGTATACACTGTCTAAGAAGCTAACTATTTACAAGGAACTTAATAAAACTTGTTTTAGTTGAATTGATTTGATCACACTAAAAGCAAGCAAAATGGCTTCTGTTGAGAAATGAATAAGCAAGCAAAATAATTTGCCTGTATCCAAAGGAATCCACCAAATCATGCTACTGTTGTGCGAAAGAGATCTAAAAATGGCTTCTGTTCATCAAGCTCGGGTTTTCTACCAATCCCCAAGTAAGATAGGCAAATATTGGCCATGGTGGGTTCTTATACTGAAAAAAGAGAACATCCTTGTTATAGTTGCTTAATGCAACCTCCAAAAACCAAAACAAATGTAAGACAACATTTTGTTATTTTCTCCTCCACATAGACTTCATGTCGCAATCCACTGTACTCATTGGCTCCAGCCAACTAGACCTATGAGCCTTAGTAATATTATGTGATTCTCATCATGTTTTACTTCACTGATTCTATCAACAATAACAGAAGGAGAAACCTAAGCACACTGCTTGTTTTGAAATCATGAATGGGGCCATAAGATTATTAGGTATAACTAAACACATGTTTAGTGAGAAACAGTCGATTGATGATGGAAAAATTATTGCAGCAACATATGATTTCAGATTATTTCATAAGATGGCCATAAAGTAGCATACCATTTGTGATTTAACATTATTACATTCATGACTCAACTTGGGAAGATCGTCAAAGTTTAAAATCTTCCATCTCATTCAACCGTAGTAGCACCAGCCCAATTTGCAGCACTTCCCCTGCGCGGAATGCTGTGGAGTTTGGTATACAAGTCCACCTGGAAAATCACAGCATTGACATTTCCTTCATCATCTTCACGTGCAATTCCTTTTACTTTGTGCATTGGATGATCAAAGCTTATTAGCCCTGTGTCACTTATGAAGATGCACCCTGTACAATCAACTTTAACACATTAAGTTCCACTTGATATCCAAAAACATCAAATTAAACTTAAGAGGATTTGATTAAGAAACCTGGAGGAAATGGGGTATACAATTTCCCACAAGAAGCTTGAATGAACTCTGAATCATCAGAACATACTAATGATCCATCTGTAGCAATTCCCCAGTGTAATGGCACACTTCCATCGCGATCCTAAACATTGTTTAGAGATACATCAAGTTTATTCTGACAAAGGAGTTATGTTATATATACTGATCATAACATAAAGATTCTTTTCCACTATCAATATAGTTTAACGTGTGATAGTAGTTTAGTATCATATAGGTTCTCCTATAATTGTCTTATAAGTAACCTTATATCGTCAGTGCATATAACTTAAAACTCTTCTGAAAATACTATACTCACCCTAGCAAGAAAAAGAGTGGAAGCTTTAGAGTCAAAGAGAATGAAAGCAAATTTGCCTTCAAGTTCTTTGATGACTTGATCAGGAGGGTATGGTGCCCGATCCCTTAAAACTTTGTAAGCCTCAACCATTATCATAGCTTCTGTAGCTTGTCTTGAAAGACCATAATGTTTCCTCAAATCAAAAGTGTTGTCTAAACCACCAGAAAAGATGCAGAATATATCATCCATCACCACAATAGACCTATATATGTTAAACAAAACAAAACAAGCTCCTTCAGCTAGTCACCTTGTTTATTGATCTAATCTTGAAATATAACAAAAGTTCCCCCTTTTAGTATACTCATCATCAATGTACAACAACACAAATTTAAGCACAAACAAGAAAAAACTGATTTAAGACATTATCATTATAAAAGAAACAAATTAGTTTCACTTATAAACTTTAATACCTTGGATGTAAAGGGTTTTCATTTTCATGGGAAAAAGCCATGAAATTCCCATTGGAAAGGTGGTAAAAAGTTGAGTCTGGCTTCCATGATTTGAAACTTTCTGCAATCTCTTCCTCTGTTTTAGCCTCCTTTTTCTGTGTACTCAGCTCTGAAGGTGGCTTCCCAATGGATTGCTCAAACACAGCCAACATGTTTATTCAAATAAATAAAAGCTAGAAACTTTTTTCAAGGACCATAAAATACCCAGTAGCAAGAACAATATTATGGCTATTTATATAAATCACAAATTTCAAAAAAAAAAATATTTAAAATTTCGTTTCAAATCAAACTACGAAGAAACGGACAGAACAATAAAGACAATTCTCTTGCAGCTGACATGCTTATCTAAATGACTGTTGTAACCGAAAATAAAGTACTGACGTGGCATCAATAATGATGATAGTACATCTGTCACATCTCTCCATTGTTCAAATGCCACTTATTAGTACTTTGATATTTTATGTTATGAAAATTTTGTTTAAATAAATATAGGGAAGTGTTAAATGGCCAGAAAATTAAAAAATTATAATATTTTTTTTATTTTAAAATAAATTGATTTTTTTTTTTTTAGTTAAAAGATATTAAAGTTAAAAGAATAAAAATATTTTAAAAAGTAAAATAACATAAATAAAATATCATTCTAACCAAAAAGATTTTTTCATATATATATCTCTTTCTTGGAACATGGTTTTGAAACTCCAGAAAATATAACATAGGAGTAATAGTAGTTTTTAATTAGGAATATAGTGGAGAGAAGAAAGAGGCCAAGAAAGTTTTGTCTAAATACTAAAAGCTGAAACAAGCAGTGTATAATGACTTTACGCACTTCGAGAAGCAGGCAAAATTAGACTCTTGTGGATAACTCCTCCAATAAAACTCAATATGATTTGTCTATGCAAATGAACAAGTCTTACATAAGACGCTATACTAATAATGCTTTGGGTCTTTTTCAAACTTTCATTTCTGATCATAATTTTGAGCTATTTTTTCCTTCTATGGAGGTGGACGTGAGAAGGCATCTTTCATGCATTGTTACTTTCTTGTAGTTTTTATCTAATAGGGAAGAGATAGGAAGATAATGTAATTAACGATTGAGACATTACTTGGGGGAAAAAAGCTAACAAATCTGTGGGACACAACAGAACCCACAAAACCATTAGTAGAAAACCTTTTCGGACCCACACAAAGACTATTATTTTTTTATTTTTTTTATGTCATGTGTTGATTGAAACAACTTGTGCAGTCCAGAAACATGGGTTGAGTAAATCTGCTAACAAAAAAATGGAGCAAATAAACTCATGAGGATGATGAACTCTAAGAAAATTTGTGTATATTACTTTTTTGCTTTGGTTCAACTGTTTTCATTTGATATAAGCAACTGTACAGCCATAATTCATAGGACTTTCCTCTTCAAACTTAACAACACGAGGATGATCTCTTAGTAATTTAAGTGCAGATTCTTTTACGACTCCAGAGCCCATCCCATGAATAACAAAAATAACAGAATTAGGCGCTCTTGAATCAATGGCTATGTTGAGCTGGTGAGAAGCATCCTCCACTCTCAGACCACGCAAGTCTACCGTGTTTTTAGATGTCTGCAGCACTGGGCCATAAGAATCCTGCTGATTTTTGCTTGCTTCAGAGAGACTTCCAAGGTCCCTGAGACTCCTGATCCGCTGAACCTACATCATTGATCATGATTAACTCTTTTTCATTCCTCATGTTTTTAAAGAAAGTGAGAGTTAAGCATTAGCAGATCAGATACATATGAAACGCAACCCAGCCCACACGAAAAATCTCAAGATACTCATATTTACTGAAGCATGCAACTCCATTCATTTATCTAAGCTAGGCCTATAAGTTCCAAGCTCAGCAATGAATTACATAACTGTTACATACATTTAAAAACTAGCCTCACATGCATAAGATTGAAAACAATGTGTGTCACTCTATTTCAATCTGTCTCAATCTTATTTATTAAAAATTAAGTTTTCCAGCATTAGAAGGTAGCTACATTTTCTGCTGGTGTACAAATCTCTATAAGACTAAGAGACTCTTAGAACTGGAGCTTAAGTGACATACCAACATGACTTACCTCAATCTCAAGTAATTTGGGAGTATTCTTCCATTGTACCCTAATTTTCACAACATGTTTTCATGGATTTCAAGAGATTGTAGGTCTTTGGAAACAGCCTTCTTAGGTCTACCTCGTTCCATTTAACACCTTCAATCACCATGGTCTCACTCACATAGGTGCCTATGTTCCCATGTGTGTGTGTGTGTGTCTATTATATGTATGTGTATTTTACTTCAAGCAAGAGAGAGAGAGGGAGAGAGAAGAAAGAACTCAAGAATCTGCAAACCTGGGTTTTCAAGGTAGCTGCACTGGAAGAAGCATCAGGGGGAATGGGTCTTATACTGCTCCTGCCCACGCGGACTCTGATTTTTCCATATTGAACAAGGATAGTGTCATCGTTCCCAGGTTCCTCAACCACAGTGGCCAACTTATTTCCAAATGCCTTCACATATACTTGTTCTCCAACCTGTGGTGTGTAAAGGCTCTGGCCTATTTCTCTGACAAGAGAATCTTTACTAGGCTGATGAGCTTCAACTATCGATGCAATAGCAGCTTCCGCTTTTTTTACTAGTGTATTAATCTCATCAGCACTTACATTTCCGAGTTGGCTCTCAAACCGCTGTACTATAGTTTGGATCTCATTTTTCACAGTTCTCGCTTCCTGTTGGATTTCATGTGTTTCCTTTGCTATGAGGGCAGCTTCACGTCCATCAAGATCTTGTGTTTCATTGTTGATCTTCATTGCGTGAAAAAAGAAAAATGAAAATAGTGAAGATTATAGGAAATCCTAATAACGGTTAACAATATTTCTGAGGTCGTCCGACAGCATCTCCCCCAAAAAAATCTAATGATATTTCAAGTGAGTTAAACCAGAAATATTTACTCTGAAGTTATAAACTATGTCGATTAGAGTTTACTAATATGGTAATACCCCAACAGGCAACAACCAAATAGAATCCGCAATAACACAGATCTAAGAGCACATCTAGAAACTGAATCAATGACAGTTCAGAAGTTAAAAAACGAAAACAGTTGAAAAGAATTCTCATAGCTGGGTTCAAGCAAAGAGAATGGATAGAAAAAGAGAGCAACACATGACAGAACTGAGGAAACTGAATGACAGTATGCAACTTCATCTTGACTCTGCTGTGGATAACGACGACAATTTTCATTCGGAGGATCATCGCGAAAAGATGCACAGCCACAAATTAAGATACAGTGGCCTTTAGGACACAACTTGGATAAAAGATCAAGAAACCTCCTGGAGTTAACTTTTTGAATGGTCATACCAGCCACAAGTTTCAACTATATACATTCTACAATAGCAAAGAAATTAGGACCTTCTCTCTCATTTGTACCGCGGATATATGAATGGGATAATGAACTAAATCCCCAAGAAAAGTACCAGAAAGATACCTCATTATAAATAATCATAATATCTGAATGAAGAGAAGCAGCTTCTATTGCTTGAGATTCTAGTCTATCTCTTTCTTCAATTAGTGACCGATAAAGTAAACCCTTCTGCTCCTGCTGCTTGTCTGGTCTCAATTTGTTCACCCATAATACTGCTTGCTCAATTATTCTTTCATCAAAGCCCATTGATTTTGCAATATTCAAGGCATTTGATTCACCCATGCTTCCCCAGAGAATCCGATAGGTAGGCTGTAGAGTCTCCAAGGAAAACTCTGTTGCTGCTGTTTCAAACTGATTGTCCTTTTCTTTTAAGCGAGTTAAATCTGCATAGTGGGTAGTTACAACAGCTAAATTAACCCTGTCCTTGAGATATTGCAGTACGCTTTCTGAAAGTGCTACACCTTCTGAAGGATCGGTCCCACTTCCAATTTCATCAATAAGAACTAGAGATTCTCTAGAAGCAACTTCCAGAATCTCACGAAGCCGTGAAATGTGCCCACTAAAGGTTGATAGACTTTGCTCCAGAGACTTCAGCAGGCAAAATATAAAATTTCAATTTATAAGAAAGATGGTGTGAATAAAAAAACAAGAAAATGAGGAAGCACAGGAAACTTCCACTGGGTTAGATTGAAAAAAGATATACATCTGAGACGGATGATGGGGAAAGAAGGGAGTATAACAAAACCAAGTACCTGTTGGTCTCCAATGTCTGCCAGAATAAGATCAAACCATGGAAGCCGTGGTTTATTTTGGGCAGGCAAATACATGCCAGCCTTCAACATCATAGAAGCCAGTCCTAGAGTCTTCATTGAAGCCGTTTTGCCTCCAGTATTAGGGCCCGAGATGACAACCACCTTTGTTCCATGACCAATTTTAATATCAATGGGCACAGGGAAATGTGCATGAGATTTTGTTTCAAAATTCATGACACCATTTCCTTGATCCAAATCAGGTGATCTTGGGGACACATCAGTCGACAAGTTTCTCAAGGAGGATTCAAGAAGCAAAGGATGTTGTATCCCTTCTACATTTATAGATAAATGTTCAGATTGGGATATGTTACAATTTCTTGGACTTAAAGCTGGACAGGCAGCACCCATCCACTGAGCATGAGCAGCCCTTGCAAATGCAAGATCGATTTCCAATATTTTATCTAATAAGTGCTTTATTTTCATATTAGATTCTGCTATTTCAGATGTAAGCAAACTCAAAATAGTTTGCTCCTCAACCCTCTCAGAACTAGAAAGTTTAACTTCCATGTTGTTCAGCTCAACTGCCTCTTTAGGTTCCATGAAGTATGTAGATCCACTACTGCTTGTATCTAGGATTACGGAATTAGGAAGCAAAGATCTATGCGAAGCTCTCACAGCAACACACAATCTTGAACGGCGCTTGGTCACTAAAGGCCTGTCAAAGCCTCCACCTTGAAAAACTTGAATTGATAATTGCTTCAACAATGATTCTAGATTATCCATGTTCCTCTTTCTCTCAGATCTTATAATTTCCAAATCTTCACTAGCTCTATCAAGGATTACTGAAAAGCTGCAATCAATACAGAATTCTATTTTTTGCTCCAATTCCACAAGAAAATCACAACTGTGAAGAATTTCCTTCAGAGGAGAGTACCTGTTTGAAGATAATCAGACATTCTAATGAAACTGCTCAATACTATTTAAATGGCACTTCATGAGAATCCATCACTACCACATGAGACATGCTTCTCCATTTTGAGTTAACTGCAATTGGGAGTAGGAAGGCATTCTCAGAGGAACAGCAAATAAAGGGAAAACACACTCAAGGTGAATTCATCTTTAAAGCCTGCATTCTTAATAATCTTCCAAAAAGCACCACAGCATTGTGTAAATTCAAGAAAGGAATGAGAAGAGATATCCATAAGACCGTATTTACCAATTCCTACAAATATCTTGGAAGAGTGCTCACTCCAATATTCATCAGATGAACTATATTTCACCTCTTACTTTTTCATTAAGTTACTTCCCAGATAGACAGCCACCAACCTCTTTGATACATTTTTGGATAGAAACTTCAGCTATTCGGCAGTTCTTTTGACCAAAATCCAAAACTATTGTCAATTCTACCACGATTTTGCAATCAGTAGAAAATAAAATGTCACTAACTGTTATCTTAAGGCTTTTGAGCTAAGCAAAAAACGTTCTTACAGATAAATTAGCATGCTAAAGCGTGGCTGTAGAGACAAGTTTTGCTTTCGAATCATTAGCCTATGGACTAGCTGACCCCAGATTTTAAATTGCAATTTGCTTGAATCTCATGGGATCACCCTATCATCTACAATCAGAGGTTCTTTATACCATAACAATCCAACACCAAGTAACTACAACGTAGAACAACAAACAAAATAATGCAATGCTTTAAGTAGAGCATTAAATACAGCAATATACCTTTCAGAAAAATCAATCTCCTCCAACTGTTGGAGCAAAAATCTCGCCGCTGCCAAGGTCCGTTTCACAGAGCAAAGTTCACGAATAGAGAGTATACCTCCTGCAACGGAAGCATCAACAATAGGGGAAATATCTTCAATTCCAGTAAAATCCAACGGCCGAGGAACAGCCACGGCGGCCGAGGTCTGAGAGAGGAGTCTACTGCTCTCATCAGGAGTTCTACCCACCGGAATCCGAGCAGATTGTGCTGCGGCGTATCCCATGGATGTGGAAGTGAAGGAGGAGAGCTGTTGACACACTGCGGGCCATTCTAGAAGCTTCAGGGTTTCGGATTGCAGTGACTCGGCGAGTTTGATTCTGTGAGTTGACTCGGATGAGAAGCGGACGGAGAACCTAGTTGTACGACGGTTACAGAGCGAGCTGTGAGGCGGAGGAAGATGAATGGTTAAAAAATTATTGAATTTGCATTTGCAGTTGCAGTTGAAGAGATTCATTGAAGATAAAGTTTGAATTTTTGTTGAGCTTTGGGTGCGTTATCCAGTTACTCTAAAATGGAGGGAAGGACGGGTTACACGGCAATACAGTAAGCAATCCATTATGTCATCAACATTCTCAAACTTTTTGGTTATGGTTCCAGCCGTAAAATCAATTATTAATGTTTTATACTGTGTAATGCGTCTTATTAAAAAATTAAGTTATTTAAGTCAAACTACATTCGCAATTTGCTGATTTTAAAATATGAAGCGATTAGAATCTAACAAACAAGTGGTGTTCGGATCAGTTTGGGCATGTAGTCTACTCACACTAGCACATGAAGAAGATAACTTTGTCCAAGAAAGAAATAACTACTCATGTTTTGTTACATAAAATTTGAGTCCCGGCCTCCCACAACATTCTTTTTAAATCTTAATTTGTATTATGGGTGTGTATAAGAAAGGATTGCACAGAAGACAAAAATACAGGAGTCTCAGCTTGTGTGTTTTGGTGGTTTTGCAGTTCTGATAAAGACGAAATTAAGTTGATATTAGTTTCTCATGGCATTTGTAAATTATGAAGATGAATTTAATTCTTAATGTGTACTTCATCAACAACAAGAGCTTTCAGCTTCAATTGAAATATTTATTTTCTACAGAGTTAAATATCCAATGACTATCAACTAAGGGCCTGCAACAGATTATATACACTCCAGCCCTGTTGCACACCTAAAAGAAGAGTGAAGACGATGAACAACTTAGATCCATGCAAAGTTTGGCTTTGATCTGAATGATGAAGTTATCAATTCCATCTACATGTGTCATGCCATGTGGTCGTCTCCAAGAATGTCAAAGGGACAACCTATGCAAAAGATGGAACAGTAAGACTGCAGTTTGAAGGAGATCAAAATGGAACATCAACAGAATGAATTTGAATGATATGGTGAACAGTAGATTTACCAATAGGCTTGTAGCACTAACTATCTATGAAGAATTGGGAGAGCACATGCTTGAGAAGCATGATTTCCCTCCTTGTATACCAGATTTCCGCGTACAAAGGTTGCCAAAACTTTCCCAGAGAGTCTTGATCCCATGTATGCAGAAATACTCTGCCAATACAAAGAAAGGAATAAGAACAACAATAAACACATTTGAGAATCAAAAACCAGAAGCAAGGAATGTAAGAACTGCAGCATGCGAATAATCTGACAGCTGAATTTCAAATTGTAGGTGATTTACTTCTGTCTAAATTACAATTTCATCTTTTTGAACCTCAAAACATGTTTCCTAGTAATTATTCCTTTTAAAGAAAAAATCAAAATCTCTGCACACGCAAATCAGGTATAAGAAACTACTATAACAGTTACTAGTTTTCATGCAAATAACAGGCAAGTTTACTTACAGGGTGCTTAATATGTACAGGGTAGTCATTATCCAGGTCGAACTCCATGTCTGGCTCCCAGACAACTATATCTGCTTGGTTACCTACAGCAATTGCCCCCTGCACAAGAACTATAATCAAATACCAGCAACCAAGATATGAAAGTATCATAAGACTTTACAGCAACTAAAACTGCAGCAGTTCCAAAACTTTGTATGGATCATAAAATGGAACAAATTAAAGTAGCCTTATCTGACATCAATTTTTTTCAAAATTTAAAGCAAAATGACATTTGAACTTGTTTAATTCCTAACAGTAGATGTAATATTGAAATACTTCAACATGATACCTTAGTCGTTAGACCAGCAAGTTTGGCAGGATTCTCACTCCACCAAGAAGCCAACTGCTCAAATGTTATTCCATACTTGCGCCCATGTGTCCATGTCGCGGGTAGAACAAACTGCATAAAAGTAACAACACCTTATAGTATTTCAAACAGATTATGATGAGTATGTTTTGACAATTATGCCAAGCATTGTGTTAGTTGTAATTCATTCTTTAAGTCTGTCTGAGAAACCACACCAATATTGACATGCCTAGGAATAGTAGCAGAGCTGCAACAGTGGTGCATGACACACTATCAACTATCTACTGTAGGTCAATTTGCAAGTATAACAGGAAAGTCGCTGATAGGGCTAAGAAAGTTTATGTAGATAAATATGTATTCTCATATTCAGGGGTTAAAAGGTTATCTTTATACTCTAGATACACAAAAAGGACCTATATGACCTCTCTAATCCTCAGAAACAAAGTGTAACTATGATGGTATAGTAGTTCTAATAGGAATTTTTGGAAGACTAAAAGAGTAGAAGTTTCAGAATAAAAATCTCGCTTCAACCATGATTTTTACGAAAATGTTTGACTGATACATTGAAGACATAGTTTGCGTAGTCCCATCCATCTATATGCATGTAAGCTTTTCCATTATATATGAGTTTCAAGATAATCCTATTATCTCCAAATGGCTTATATCTGAATTATTTCTGAGCCCACATAGTAATCACATGTAACTAGTAAAAGTAAAGACCTGTAAAGAAGATATGCCACCCCATGCTTTCAAGAAGTCACCCTCATCTAAGAGTTTCATTTCTGGCACAGAAGGTGAGTGGTCAGAACTTAACATGTCAATATCTCCATCCTGAAATGCACACAAATAAAATGAAGTAAATTCTTTGAAAGAAGAAATATGAGATGTGATTATAGCGGTAACGAAGTTTGGAAGTTGACTATACCAGTAACGCATCCCATAGTTTTTCTTTATTGGCTGCATCACGGATGGGTGGAGCACACTTAAACCGAGTATCTCCATCAGGAATATCTTCAGCTGCAAAAGCGAGATAATGGGGGCAAGTTTCAACGGTGATGCTATCACCCCTTTGTTTGGCTTCCTATGATTAAAAAGGAAGAAGATATTTTCAGAACGATAATGTAAGATATTCCACAGCAATTTTAGGTGTAAAATTAGAAACAATTATTTTAATATCTATGCTACTCTCAGCTGAATCAATATTGCTGTTTACTCATCATTCATGAAAGTGACCATATTGTGATATAAACATGTGATGGTCAGCCCTTACATCATTTAATATAGTGACGAAGAGTAACAGAATTTCTTGACAATGGTGACTTCCCTGCTCTTAACAAAAATAGTCCACCACAAAGGGTATAAGGGGTACAAAGGCAACAAATGGATAGAATACAAATGAACAAATAAAAGAACCCAGAATGTGAGAGAAATGTTTTGTTACCTTAATGAGGTTTAGTGAAGTTCTAGCATCAGATAGATGAACAATATGGAGATGAGCTCCTTCAGCAGAACCACCAGCCCTCGTGTCCTTTGACAGTGTTATGAGCTGATTGATAGCAGCCTCTTCCCTGTTAAAGAACAAAAATTTCAAAAGGTAATACGATGTGAAAAACAGTAGAAAATAGAGGATGTAAGAGAGAAAGAGAGAGGGATAAGAAAGAGAAATCATAGTCAGAGAGGAACGTTTTGACAAAATTAAAAACGTTAAAACATGCACCAGCTGAAAGTAAAGAAAGAAATGTTTGTAACACCTCTTGGAAATACATACAGACATGTCAAGAATGTGACACAACAGGAAACACAAGAAGAATGACATGTTACCTCAACACAAATCTACTCTAGATTCGACCATATGATAAAAGGTAATATATTTACATTGAAGCAGGCCTGGTCTTGAGATATGTAGAGTATGATCTAGCATTCTCGACCCCATCCTCCAGCTCCACTTTTCCATCAAGATCTAGTAGCACTTCGGCATGAACAAGTAGGGGTCTTTTGTATCGAGCCAGAGTTGGGAGTGCTTCCTGCGTAGTTAAGCATTGAATCATAAGCACAGTAGAGAGTCTAAAAAAGTTTGTTTTAATGACCATCTGCAAAGACATACCTACATAATTACTGCAGAATGATTGACAAAAATAAATAGAAGAAAACATATTTTGAAAAAAAAAAAAGAAGGAAGAAAGATTATGTACCTTTATGTGGGATGCAGTTGTCATGGGAAAGTCATTGATGCCTGATGGCACCATAAAAGACTGCAAAAAGGAAAACATGTCCAATTATAAATGTGACAAACCAATTGAAGTCACATAGTACAGTGCTACAAAGAATGCCCAAATTATCTCTCAAACATTAAAGATACATTGTCTCTTCGTAAGGTAATAGTTAGGAAATTAATTAACTTATCCAAAAATGTTTTGTATTTAGTATATTGGATATGTCATCAATCTTTGTTTGACTTCCAGACAGATATGATATCAAAAACTGAAAAGGAACAGAATGCTCAATCTGAGGTCTAGCGCATGTATGTTTGCCAGTATACCTTCAATCCCAGAACCCCTGCATTTAGAAGTCTTTCCAGAGAACTTGCATTTTCTGCATTTTCTGGAACCAAACCTCCCCAGAAACCTGTTAATACAAGAAGTAAGTAACGTCTTACTACAACATCAATCAATCAAGAATAAAGCTTCACAGTCATACCAACATCCACGTAGACCCTCCCTTCTGCAGCCTGGACCTGCCAAAAGAACAGTAACCCTGATTATATGTTGTTCAATATGACTACACCTATATGAATCTAGGAGCTTCTGTTAGCATTTTTATATGTTCATTAGTTTGAATGCCATAAAATCCTTACAGATGCACCATATTAGACAACCAGCTGACCTCAACAAAAACAAAAACACATGCACTAATAATCACACGAGAAACAATAGCTTTGATAAGTTAGAATTATTTACTCTGTCAAAATGGTCTGCGAAATATATCAAAAATCTATATGACATGCTTACCTTAAGTTTTAAAGTTTCTTCAGAAACTGTTGATGGAGCACTATTAAGAGGCATGTCAACTAATGTGGTTACTCCACCTGGAAAGAACATAGTAATATGAAACGCGATATTAGGTTCTATGTATCCCACACATATGAACACTGAATGTTGAATCCAGTAAAATAAGGCAGTCTACAACTTTAAATTTCAAATATTTAAGAAAAAAGTTTAAAAGAACAAACTCATATTAGTGTCATAATTATATTCATAGCTACCCATCTCAAATAGTTTTAAGTTACATGTGACCAGCTTGAATTTGAATCCACGTACCTGCAGCAGCTGCTTTTGTTCCTGAAGGAAACCCTTCCCATTCTGATCTTCCAGGATCATCAAGATGGGCATGCCTAGAATGGACAAAATAATAATTAGAAACAAGGCTTTATAAGTTAAACCTTATCATCTAGTTTTGATATTGGCAAGGAAGCACAAACTAAGCTCAAGTCTTCCAAATCAAGCCAGAACTAACACAAGCCAGGTATATGATTTTAGACTCCCATCACTACTCTGCTAAAGATTCTACTTTAGTTTTTACTCCCACACTCGCTGGGAGGATTAATAGTATTTACGCTACATCCCCCACACAACTCGAACTTCTAACATACTAGTTGGGGTCTAGTTGGAGTCTCAATCATCAACTATTTGTGAGATGAAGTCTCATAAAGAAATAGCATACATCCTGGAAGAATTGTGATTTATTTTATGGATTAGTGTTGGAGCTAGGACGTCTATGACAGAGAAAATACTTCAGAGAACTAGAGCAGGTATTCTGGATATAAGTAAGGCAGGGTAACTGGAAATGGCCTTAAGTTTTCAGGTACTCGTGCAAGTGCAATTGTATGTATGACAGTATGAGTGGTTGGTTGCTGACACAAAGCAACATCCTTGAACCATAAAACCAAAAGGGTGATCGTGTATGTATGACAGTATGAGTGGTTGGTTGCTGACACAAAGCAACATCCTTGAACCATAAAACCAAAAGGGTGATCGTCTAATAACTGCAAACTTTTAAACCTAGTTCCATCAGTTAAATAACCTAGTTCAACATCTGAAAGCCTTTCAAGGCTCCATCAGTTAAATAAGTACCCTACTCTTACAGTGAAGTTAAATGTTTTTAAAACAAATACAACTCCATACTCAGGAATTCAATGAATCCGAATTCATATATAGACATCACACTTGATCAAAACCCATGGTGTAGACAATCCAAAGACATGAACTCCTCAGAGATGATAATACTTCCCCCTCCTACTTTCCAGTGAATGCAAATTATGCTTAAATATAAGTGGCACACACTGTATCAATTAAACCAGAGTTATAAATGCCTAACGTAAAGAGAACATCAAAATTAACTCTTATTCAGGTTTGACACCTTTATCAGTAAGGAATTTCCAATAGTTAAGAGCTATGATACCCTGTTTTCTTGTGAAATAATATCTCAAATTTCTCATTAAAAGGTCTGAATTTTCTCTCCACACAGCAATTCCAATCTGCTGCTTTTAAGTGCATAGCCATTAACAACTTTTTACATCTTCTAAATCTTCTTAAAAGTTCTCCATGATTTGACATAAATTTAAGAAACAACATAGGAAATCATAACCAACACGAGGATAGAATTTTATCTTACACATCAATAAATCCAGGCATGACAACAGACTCCCCATAATTGACCACTGTGGTAAACGAAGAATTTACATGCCAATTCTCTTCAGCAACAACAGATATAATTCTCCCTTCCTTTATCTCAACTGTTTACATCACATCAGGAAAAACAATTTGTCACCAGGAATGAGAACAAGTAGCTAATAATTTCCCCGTAATCAAAGAAATTTAAAACTTCAGTTCAACAAACCTGCACCAGAAATTGTTCCATTTGGAGTCACAATACGTTTGCTGGATATCCAATAGTGATTATGAGGCAGAAGGCTGCAGTCGCTTGAGGGAAGCTGAGGTATATAACCATAAACTTTCTTGAGGATCATTCAGAAGTTATAGAACAAAAAAATTGTACCTGAGTACAACATAGTATGAAGCATAAAAACTGGAAAAAGCACATGTAGATAGATTTTTTGCAATATTTTATCCCTAAAAAGGATATCAGAACTAGACAGCTAAATAAAAAATCATTAGCAAAGGTTAAAAAACATAAGCTTGCCTCAAGGCTCTTATATGTACTGCATGTAGACATGCTGAAATTTGACCAACTTTTTAAGTTTATTCAGAAAATTTCTTATATGTTAAGCAGTAAAATCTCAGGGGATCTTCCCTAGTTCTTATGGCAAATCTTTTTCCATCAGTCCCTCCATCATATAAATAACATGCTAAAATGGATATCCAGATCTACAGTACTCAAGCATTTCACATGCAAGAACTTCATGAAGAAACTTTTTTGACAAGTGCTTCATGAAGAGGCTTTCTCGAATTTGTTAAACTTCTTAAGCTAATCTTCAAATGAAACCTAAAAGCCCCTTATTGGAAAAAAAACTCTGTCCACAGACAGACCATCCAAATACAAAATCACACAAATGTACAATATATACATAATCAACAACAACATATCTCATTGTAACACAGTCTAGATTTCAGTGAGTGTGTGTGTCTTTATGAGTGTTAAGCAAGATTAATCTTTTCCTCATTCTTGAAAAAGGGTAACCAATAAATTTTCTTTTTATCATCCTCACCACCCCCAACCCCACATCACATCCCACAAAAAGGGATTTTCTGCACAGAAAAAAAATACTGGCATTACAACAGTGGTATATTAAAGAAAAGCATAAAGATCAAACCTTTTTTGAGAAATCAAAGTAAAACAGGAAAGAAAGGAAGAGTGGTAGCAGAGCCAGAGTACTCCTCTTTCCAGATTCCATGTTTCTCTGCTAACCCTCAGCCTTCTTTATCACTTTGTGTATGAACTCTTCTGTATTAATGGCTTCCACTTTATACTGCAAAAAGTTTGTTTTCTTCTTCAATTTTGGTTGTAATATTTGTTGACGTGTAAAAGATGACCAACCAATAGCACGCACAGATTTCCAATTCCACCTTGTATGGAAAGTAGTAGTAACATTAACCACTAACCAAGAAATAATCAATTAACAATGGGCGGCTCAGAGGAATCTGTTAAGATACTGCCCCTCGAAAAATCTTTTTGGCCAGAATGATGTTTTTACCTATATTATTTTATTTTTTAAAATATTTTTGTCTTTTTAACTTTAATACATTTTAACTGAAAATAGAAAAAATATCATTTTATTTTAAAATTAAAAAAATATTATAATTTTTTAAATTTTCTGATCATTTAGCATTACCCCATAATGCACCAGGCTCCTGTCACTACCTACCAATAGAATAGTGTAGAACTAAATTACTCGAATCCTTCAAAATTGTTGCAAATTCTAATCGAATTCTTTAAAAATTACTAAGGATCTCATAAGTTCTATCTATATTTTTAAAGAGTCTAAACAACACAGGACTAAAAGAGTCCTTTTGAATATGAGGGTTGGAAAAAATAGTTATATAATTTTTAAAAAAAATTAAAATTAAAATTAAAATTTCTTGAAATTAATTAGGCTCGAACGTAAGTAACAGACTTAAGTACATGCTATGGGACTTGTTCGCATCGTATATTTATATCAAACTATGCTAATTTACTATAATTAATATATATTAACTTTGATGAGTAATAGAATATACGTGAAGATATATGTTATATATTTATACAAATTCCTTCACATGCTCCTAGTTTGCTTGATTCGGAAAAAATAATTAATATGACAGAATGTATATTGAAAAAATTGTCATGACTAAAAGTAAATGGTAATATGTGGAAGATAGTAAAGCAAATTTTGAAGTACTATAAATAAGAAAATAAATGAGAAACATATTAAAAGATACAAATATTTAAGATGATTTAATCGAATGACCTATATTCACGGATAGAAATGAGCAATTCACTAAATAAAAAAAGAGTATACAATATTGAGAGAAATAATCACTTAAGAATAAAAGGAGATACACACCAGTGTTAATATAACACTCCTATAATTAATGAACCTTTATTTATAGACAAACTTTTTCCAATTAGAATAAGACTAGTCATGTATAGAGACGATGTGTTTTTCTTTTAGGAAAAGGAAAACTCAATTATGATTTTTTTTTTTTAAAATAATGATACTCCCTCTGTTCTTAATTATTTGTTTTTTTTTTATTTGACATATCTGTTAAAAAAAAAATTAATATAGCAAATTTATCATTTTATCCTAATTATTTGATAGGATTTCAAAATCAATTTACTAAAATTCACACATTGATTTTTAATATTTAATGGCAGAGGAGACTGATGGTCAAATGTATTTAATTAAAAAAACGTCGGTGAAGAATCTCGAGACTGTGCCTAGAAAAGCAAAATATTACACATGCTTAATAGCAATACTTTAGGTTACATCAAATTATTATTTTAATTACTCCGACTTGAGTCATAAAATATAATTTAAAAAAGGCACATGTTATGTACTTTTTATTTGTTGTAAAAATATTATCAAATATGAGTAAGTTTTCTCTAGCTTAAGTTGAAGGGCTATCGAAAATAAATTATCTACTTTTAAGATAACGATAAAATATTTTTATAAAATTATACAGAATATATTGTTATGATTAGTTAAGAGTAAGTTTCCTTTTTTTTGTTTAGACTTTGGAGTGATAAATTCCAATAAACAAGTGACCAATTGATAGTGAAGTTACCAAGAGATTCCTACAAGTGGGTCCATGTGGATTTTTTTTAATATGTTCCCTTTTTCTTTTTATTTTCCTTAATTAATTAATTGCATTAGATACTATATGTGGCCTGGAAGATTCATTGAAGATTCACTAATTTATTAAACCAAACACAAAAAGTATGCTTAGTGCAAAGTATTCTTTGACCTTAGCACTAATTTAGAGGAGAGAAAAAACACTATATTTCTGATGTTTTAATATTAATATCACTGTTATCTTTTATTTATAATAAAATAATAAATAATTAATAGTACTGTTATATTTTAATAAATGTTTTTCAAGTGACAAATATTTTAAGATTGTTAGTCAGATTTCATTTTCCTTATCTCTTCAAGATGTATTCACTAAAAACAGGTGATTAATGTGACAGTTAGCGAGAGATTCCCATAAGTGGGTCCAAATGAACATTTAATTATTTCATTAGATCCAAAACGTGTCCTCTTAATCCTCATTAGATTATGAAGAAAGGTCCACTAATTAATTATACATTCACATTCGAAAACTCCATTATGCACATTTTATTTACTAACTCACTGTGATCGACTTGATAGTAACATCTCTATCTTTATGAAATAAGGGCAAAAAAAATTAATATTTTATTTTTTTCAAAGCTCAAAAAGGGACAGTCTGATATTAAAGAAAACCAACATTCACATAAAAAAAATTGGAAAAATCATTTCAAGATGCATGTTTAAGTCCATGAAGGTCACTTATGAAATTTTGCGAGTATATTATTGTTGTTGCGATTCATTGTACTTGACATTCCAATACGACTCTTAATTACTTTTTTAACAACAAAATGAGCATTTCTCTCTCAATACTCACTATGATCATCTTAAAAACAATCTCTCTATATCTACGAAATAGACTTTTATACTTTATTTTCCTCTAAAACCACTTATAAAATTTTACGATTGTTGTAATTGTCATCTCCAATACGACTCTAAATGACATTTTTGTAAACAACAAAATGAGCGCCACACTCCCAATACTTTTGCCCTACAAAACATTAATTTCTACAACATCTAAGAAATAAAAACTTTATTATTAGTAGTATTTTTTGGTAGAATTTTGATGTTAGTGGAAAAATTGACATAATGAGAAAACAAAATAGGACACGAAACTAGCTAAAGCATGGCCAATGAATAGATAAAAGAAATAGAAAGATGTTTGTTGGGTCTCTAAAGACTAAAATCGCTTATATATTTCCAAACATATGATGTGAAAGTTGTTTTGTCCTCCTCAAAAAGCCTATTTTGTTGACGAATACACTAGATTGGTGATTATTTATTTTTATATAGAAAAAAAAAAGGCACCATTATTTTATTGGTAGAAACAAAAACGAGTAGTTAATTTACTTTCTTGCTAAAGGTAAAGGGGAATCTTTCTTGTTTTTTCTTTTTTATTTTAAAGAATAAAGATGTTCAGTCAAAATTTGATAAGGGAAAAAAGTGATTTGAGTAGTAATAGAAGTATTAGTTGTTAAGCAAAAGCTGAAGAAAGCAGACTCTGGAAATTAAGTTTTTTTTTTTAAAAAAAAAAAATCATTTTAGGTCAAGATTAATCTCAAATATTTATTTACCAAATTAAATAGTAAGTAATAATTTTCTTTTTCATAATTTGACACTCAAAAAGTTTTTTAAGAAAAAATTAATCAAATACAAATTATTATTTTACTTGTGCTAATTTATGAAGCACAACTCAAATTTTGAGAGTTAGATTCATTTTATTGACTTTCAAAATACTAAAGGTGATCATTATAAATGGAGACAAAGAAAGTAACAAAAACACTTAACACATGATTTCTATCAAACGGTTACTCTCTTGAAATACTTTTTTTTTATATTTAAAAACTCATTTGACTCTCAAAATACTGAAAAAAGTTGAGACAAAATAAAAAAGAACAACTTTCACATATAGCAAATACAAAATTCATATTTGTATGTTATAGCAAAGTTTGCATAATTGCGCTCCATAGCAAACATATATATGTATAATTCGCTATACATATACAAAAAAAACAGTTGTATAATATGTTTTGGTATACATATACAAAAAGAATCAATTGTATAAAGCGAGAGAGGCGAGTGAGTGAGCGAGATCTGGGAGAGTGGCGAGCGAGATCTGGGAGAGGGGAGAGAGGGGAACAAAATATATGTATATATACAATTTTCTCTCGCTTTATACAAACACATTTTTATACAATTTTGCGTTTTTTTGTATAAAGTGAGAGAGACGAGTGAGAGAGCGAGATCTGGGAGAGTGGCGAGCGAGATCTGGGAGAGGGGAGAGAGGGGAACAAAAATATATGTATATATACAATTTTCTCTCGCTTTATACAAACACATTTTTATTACAATTTGCGTTTTTTTGTATAAAGTGAGAGAGACGAGTGAGAGAGCGAGATCTGGGAGAGTGGCGAGCGAGATCTGGGAGAGGGGAGAGAGGGGAACAAAATATATGTATATATACAATTTTCTCTCGCTTTATACACACAAACGCACTGTATACACTTGCGTTTGTATAAAAACGAGAGAGGCGAGGGAGAGAACGAGAGTAGCGAGCGAGATTCACCTGGAGAGAGGTGAAATAGCAACAATTTGCTATGAGGTACAATTAAATCAAACTATATTTATAGCATTTAATTTTAATTAATAGTTTGCTGTTATATACAATTTTCCCAATAAAAAAAGGGTATTTAAGTGAGAGTTAGGCAAGAAGATACTATACTCCTCCCTTTGTTATATATTAATTGATCAATTTTCTTTTTACACGCATATTAATAAATTTTACTAGTAATTCACTTCTTAAAAACTTCTTGAAAATTTTACAAAAAAATATGAACACTTTCAAAAAAATTAATTAATGCTTTATTGATTTAATATGATGATCAATTGATATGGGACAAGAATTAATTACTTGTTCATTTTGACAAAACAAGAAATAAAAAAAAATCACCTAGTATATCTTCAATTAATTACTTTGAAAAATGTAGAACTTCTTGAAAATCTTGATTTTTTAATTTATTTACTTCATAATTAATAGAGATAAAATAATAAACTCATTATATCAATCATTATTTTCTTAATCCGTGTATATATGTCCATAGGAAGTAACAAATTAAAAAGCGGTTTCAATGAAAGAGGGTGGTTGCAACTTCCAACGAGTTGGGAATTGGGATGGTACGTTAGCAATACCCCGCTAATGTATAGTGTCATTTATCTAGGGGGAAAAAAATGAGTTTGTAATTATTTCTTGTTTATTTCTACTTTCTTATTTTTGCTATAAAAAAGACTTTACGTTTTCAAACTCAGTTTAGGGTGTGTTGGTACAAGATAAATTGCTTTTTTAAAATGAAAAATATATTTTAATTTTTTAAAATTTTTTTTTTTGATAAATATATATATAAAAATATTATCTCAAAAGTATTGATATGTAATATAGTAAAATATTACGAGAGTGAAATGGGGTAAGAAATTAAAGAGTGGGCTTCCGTGATGTGTTGACTAAGGGATGGGGGGTTGAGAGAGTTGGAGATGGATAAAATACAATGAACTTGTCATTTTTCTTAAATTTATGAAATTTTTCTAAAAATTTTAATCGATCAAACATAAAAAATTGAAAATCCTATATACCAAGTACACCCCTAGTGTTTTGCAAAAGAACACAACTTATATTTTTCGCAAAACAAACACACCCACACACACACAAAAAAAAAAAAAAAAAAAAAAAAAAAAAAAAAAAAACTTAAATACCAGAGCTATAAGATTACAATTAATTTTGTGCAACTAAACACTAAAAATAAAGAGATTACTGCTAGGAATAAATAGCTAAAAATAAGGAGATTTCTTATACTGGTGATAACGGAATTAAACGTATATCAAAAACATAATAATTGCTTACCTTAAAAAACTCGAAAAAATCCTTTTGGCCAGAAAATTTGGTCAGAATTTGACCAGAATGATATTTTACCTATGTTATGTTACCTTTTTAAATTTTTTTACCATTTTAACTTTAATACCTTTTATCTAAAAAATGAAAAAAAGATCAATTTATTTTAAAATAAAAAAGATATTATAGACTTTTAAATTTTTTGGCCAAATTTTGATCAAAATTTCTGGCCATTTAGCATTAACTTCAATACAATCGGCTAACGTTACTATAATACATGAACGAGAAAATCGAGTAATTACTATTGTTTACTTAATTAAGAGATATATTTTGAGGCTATAAAAATAAATATACGCAATACAATAATTTAATAAATTTGTTTTAATTTTTTGGAAACTAGTTATAAAAAAATCAAATTATTATAAAGAATGTATTGTGTTTAAAATCCTCTATGGATATGGGAGATATGGGAGTCCCGTGTCTGTCAGCCCAATTGTGGTGAAATAGGCCCACGCTGAAGTCTCCTTCCACGTCAGTAGGATTGGCAATGGGGAGGGGCGGAGTGGATTTAAGATTGTGCGGGACAGGTGAGATGCGGGACGGGTTGAAGTGTGTTTTTTTAAAAACTAATGCGGGGCGGAGCGGGTTGTGAGTACGTGTGATTTTTGAAACTAATGTGGGGCGGAGCAAGGCGGATTAAAATTTTTACAGGTTAAGCTCAACCCGCCCCACCCGCACCGCTCCATTGTCATCCCTACACGTCAGGGCATTGGGCCACGCAGGGTCTTCCCCGTGTGTTTTGCAGGTTTTTACACCCATGGCCAATGGGAGTTTACTCCGTGCATATAAAGTATGGAAAATTACTCAGATAAGCAAACATATATTAGTTAATTAGTTAACATCGCTATAGTTTGAATTAATTACGACTGACAACTTAAATTTAGATGTAATTACGTCACTTATACATATGCAAATACAATTTATTTATTTTTTATATATATATATATATATATGTATGACAAATATACAAATACATATGTATACCAGTTTTATATATATAATTATCTCTGAAAGATATACATATACAATTTGACTCTCTCCACTTTCTCGCTTGCCTCTCTCCTGATCTCGCTCGCTAGATATACAAATACATGCGTATACCAGTTACATATATATAATTATTTGACAAATATACATATACAATTCCCCTCTTTGCCCTCTATCCCCTCTAACATGTAGCTATGAATGATAATCAGCAAACTATAGCTATGAAGCATAATTAAGTTATTTTTGAGTGACTATATGTGAAAAGTATTCATGATATATAGAGTGCTCACCCAAAAGACAAAGAATGTAGTAGCAAAGTTGTAGTGGTTGTTGATTATCTGGGTTCCAAAAAAAAATTAGAAGAAAATGACAAGTTCCCATTGCTTTAAACTTCAAATCGTGAGATCTCAAAGTTGAAATCCTAGGTGTGACGCTATAGTAACTTTTTGAATTCCTAGCTCTGCCACTAGACCGTGTGATGCCAAAATTGTGAAATTTGGTTTGAGGTTTTAGCCCAAGTACATAATATCATTAACGATTGTGCCTCATTTAGAAGCTGTGTAAAACATAATGTGTATTGTGATCGTCATAGTGAGCAGCAAACTACAATTACAGATTTTGGGAGGCCAAACAATAAACATAGATTGTGCTGAAAGTTGTTAAGTAAAACGGTGCACTTAAAGTGTTCAATGAATTGCCTGAATGATTTTTGTCAAGTCTGAGTAGCAATCCAATACCTAATGGAAATGTAAGCCGTCCCTTAAGACAACTGCTGTGCAAGGGAAGGGTAAATCCAAGAAAGATGTTGTCACGTGGAGTTGGAGTCTGATTGCGACTCATCTAATCCTGAAACATTTGTGCCCCAGTTGAACTAGCTGAATGGGAGGATGATTTTGTGAGTGAGGAGGCCTGGAAGCTGATATCGATATTCCTTGAAAAGAAGCTTCATATTGATGCTACAAACAAAACTTGCCCCAGAGATAATGGTAGAGATTGAGAAAAGAGGTTGTGTGTCCTTTGCTCAAGGACTTAAGGGCGAGGCAAACCTTGCTCTAATTAGACATTAGTATTCATATTGGGATCATACCCAAGGTGACATTGTCTGGCTTAGGAGTACAAAAGTGGATATCTAAACAAGTACTATCATGTTCCCCTCAGACTTATGTCTAACTATTGGCAAAGAGAGCAATGTTTGGATTTGCCATGTATGCTAGAGGTGCTCTGTGATGACCCAAGCATGGTGTATTGGGTTAAGAATCGGTCCACTGACCATGCAGCCTTGCCAAAGTCATTCATGAGCTAAATTGTGTAGGTGAGAGTCAAAGAATACACTCTTAAACTTCAGTGATCTAGACTGTAGCATGGTATTGAGGTAGTTAGAGATTTGTTGTAGAATATTATTTGGTGCATGGACTATAGTTAGAGATGAATCAAAAAAAGAAGTGACTAAGCTATTGAAGGTTATATGGGGTTGGATCACTGCCATATGTAGCGTTAAATAAGAAGGATATGAACCTCCATAGCTAGTTTCAGATGAATGTGATTTCAAGGAACAAGATGGAAGTTACACTATCTTCATGATACAGTCTCACTCTCAAACTATTCCTTAAGGTATGCTCATTCTAAGCTAATGAAGCGTTGGTTTTTAACGGTCATCACTGTTACTGCATGTCACCTGACTGTAGTATTAGAGTTGCTATTTTTTACTAGATGTCACTTGAGTGTAATGCTAGAGTTGCCTCCATCAGACTTGGACATCAGGGAGGTACTTGGCCAGCTATCTGTTAACCTGCTTGCTTAGATAAAAATTAGTAGTTCTGAATGAATAACAGTAAGAGTTGGTTGATTAATGGATGGATTGACCTGCTTGCTTATCAGAGAAATGATTAAAAGTTTGCTATTATTCCAGAAATCATAGAGGGGAGCATTTTAATGTGCTTTTGTTGAGGATCAAACCAGGTTACTCTGTAGAGTTGTCACACAACTGCCCATCCAGAAAAGCAACTCGCTCGGTAGTGTTGTCACACAAGATAAGGCAATAACTGAAGTTATCTTTTCATTTTCCTTTAGCCTGAAGTAGTATGATTAGTTCAAGTAAAATTTAAGAAACATACTCTATTAGGGGTAAATGCAATGTGAGCCACAAATCAAAGAAATTAGTACTATCAGATAATGTAGATTCCACTCTTTTTTGGTACTGTTTTCATAAAAACGTGTCAGGGGAGATAATAGCAAAAAGGGTTTACAACATGTTTTGCATAACTCTGCATTATTGTCTTGTTACTCTCTACAATTTTGCTTACAAACAAACTCAATTAAACATGATCATAACTTAGCATATTTCTTGAGATTCACAGCAGCATCTTTAGCATTTTCAGGTACAGACATGTTGACCTTAAGAGTAACTCTTGATGATGCTAACAAAGTCTTGTTTTCCTCATTAGATGGATCAATCTTCCAAAGACAAACTTCCCAAACATGAATACTTTTGCCAATATTGATTGGTACAGCCTCAGCAAACACAAGGTCCCCTAAATGAGCACTCTTGAGATGATGGATGCTTAGATGAACTCCAGCCACTCTCTGGAAACCAGAAGCCATATGTGCTCCCATACTTGCCAGAGCCTCAGCTATCAAAGCTGAAACTCCACCGTGCAGCACCTTAAATGGCTGACAACACTTTTCTGTCACAGGAAGACGACCAGTGATTTTGTGGGGTGTGATTTCTACAAACTCAAAACCAATCCCATGAAGTGGAATATCTAAAACTTTAGCCTTTACCCCTGATGATGATGATGATGATGCTGCTGATGGTGGTCCCATATTCTCTGTCTCTTTTTCACTCTTCAAATCTTGAAAAGAACAGACTATGCTTCCTTCAAAGTCATATACATCAATTTCTCAACAATGAAAAGATAAATACACCAGAAAGTTTCAGTCTTGGAGTCAAATATTGTGAATCTTTGATATGTTTATGGGAATCAAGAATCTTGATTTGAAGGAACCAGATTGTAGATGAAGATAAATATTTATACAATAAAGTTTCAGTCTTTGATTCAAATATTATGAAATTTTGGATCTAATCTGATTATGAAAATCAAGAATGTTGATTTGAAGTGGCAGGTAAAAAGCAGATTGAAGATGAAGATTTAAAGATTGGAGTTTGGTTTGCTGTGAGGAGGAAGAAGGTCAAACGATGAAGTTTGTGGTGGGTGGAATATAAAAGGGCACCGTTTAGTCCTAATATAGGGCTAATTACGATGCATTTAGTGCTGGGCCAAACTTTTAAAAGTAGCAAAAAGTATTTTTCTTAAAAAAAGGAGAAACTACTTAATTAGAACATTCCTATAGTTTGAAATTTATATCATAAATTAATAATTTCATACCATATTTCAAATTAGATACACCTAGATACATACTTTCTCCGTTCATTTTTACTTGCCACGTTTTAATTTGGCAGTTGACATACCTATTAAGAAAATAATGATTGATACGGGAGTTTACCATTTTAATCCAATTAATTGATGGGGTTCCTTATATATTTACTCACTATATTTTTCAAAGATATAACTCACAGTTAATAAATTGAGGTTATAATAGGAAAAAAAAATTCCTTCCTTGATTTGTCAAAAATGACAAGTAAAAAAGGAAATCATATTAGGAAATATTTGACAAGTAAATAGGGACGGAGGGAGTATCTTATACACCGAAATACAAGATTTTTATTACTAGATATATTGAAATAGGGTGAAAGGCGAGCGTGAATAGGATAGAGGAGAACGAGATTTGTTTATATATCTCAAATACCTGTAAAATACACTATATACATGTTTCTATACGTATTTGGTGTGATTCACTTATATATATATATGAGAGTGGTGACCAATACGGGAGGGAGACGAGCGAAATTTATTTATTTATCCCAGATGCATGGTATAGTATATCTATAGAAAATTACACTTAATCTTGACATGTATTTCGAAATTCATATATCTGGACGTATCGGGACGCTGCAAAATTTGATAAGATTCATAATATTATAAACTAGTGTGTATCTAAGTAATTAACTCCTAAACTAGTGAAATTTTTCTAAGCTACCCAAAAAAAATTAGAAAACTCAATCAAACACTAATTATTATTTTAAAATATTTTTTAAATTTATTGATAAAAAAACACTTTTAAAAATTAGCCCAAAGAGGCTATTGGTTTGCCTCTTCCAAATTTCACAATGTGAAAAATACACTTCCCAAAAAGTTTTTGGACCACATGAAATCTTATCGAATTTCGGATAGATTTGTATTTGCATGGTTCTTTGGATTCCATTTTCAGAGTCAATAAGGTGGGGGAAAAGAATACTCGGTTTGTTTAACTTACTTGTTTATTATATTAAAAATAAATATTAATTTTATTTAATTTAAAAATTAAATGATGCCTTATTATTTTATTCTTATATAGTACTATTTTAAAAAAAAATCTCAATTATTTATAATTAATTAGAATTGATATAATAAAATTATTATTTGTTAAGGGAGTGTCAAATGAGTACCATTTTGCATTGTTTATACATAAACTAATGAATTTCATTAAATTCCCCTCCGGAACTATTGTAAATTCATATTAAACTATCCAGTTCTAGCTATCAATTACTGAATTATTGAATCCAAAATTTGATAATTCCGAACCGAATATCGAATGTATACTCCTATGGAAAATCTTATCGAATCAATAGATTTGTAATTGCACGGTTCTTTATTTTTTTTTAGAGTGAATTGGTTAAAAAAAAGAGTAAAATTTTACTTTTTTTATACCTCTCTACTCCTTTTTATTGGTTCATTAATTAAAAAACAAGTTTTTATTGTTATTTGTTATTTTAACAAATAAAAGAAGATAAACATTTTTTTCTATATTTTATTTCTCAAATTATTTTTAAAAATGTAATACTAAATATCAATTAATAAGAATAATATAATAAAATAGTCCTACCAAGTATCCAAATATGACCTGAAAAATGATAATAGTGGGTGAGGAGGGCGTTTAACCTATTTACAGTATATCCGATTTATGCTTGAGCAGAATTTGATAGAGTAGTATGTTTAATTAAACTTTCGATTATTTCAAAAAAGAAGGAACGTATTTGGCTATTAAAGATTTAAAGGAGTTATTATAAGCTTATTTTTTTTCAAAGATAAGGCCTAAGGGGTCATTTTAACGTACAACATTCATCATGTGACTAACATGAGTTGTGGTGGAGTGGTGAAATTGTTTCATCCTTAATAAAAAATCTAGAGTTCGAGCCATGGATATAGAGAAAATTCGATTGGGAGCTCCACCCCCAAAATGGATTCTGCAATGCTCAATGCAAATTTAATTAGAGCTTCAAAAACAAAAATAAAATAAAATAATGAATGTGTCGTTTATCTTGTTTTATTGATGAGGACATGTTGCGGCCTCCGTGATTGCTTCGCTGGATTTGAAACGCATGCAGAAGTTGCTGAGCACTACGGGCCATTACACTCAGAATTTCAAACAGTTCTCAGTTTCAATTTTGCTCTTCCATAATTGAGGGTAAAATTGGAAAAATTTAATTAATAATTTCTTGATTTAGTAAGTGATTAAGTAAAATGAAACAATTATTTTTAGTAAGATGCTCATATTATATGAAACAGAGGGAGTATTGACTTGACACGAAATTTTAAAAAATAACTAAGAAACACGAAATTTTAAAAAATAACTAAGAAACTTTTGGATCTTATGATTTTAATAAAACATAGAAATTAGAGGTGAATGGTGCACCACCAATGACTAATGCACGTTAGTTAAAGCATATCACTAAATATCAATTCATATGATAATTTTACTAAACAATGATTATACTAGATAAAATTTGCTTTTATGGCTTTGAACTTTACTTTGCACGTGAGGTTTCAATGTTCAAAACTAGCCAACCCCTTCTTTTATTCAATAGTTCAAAGAAAATTGTAAATGAGATTTGAACCCACCCCTTCATACCTCAGAGGTGTGCACCATTTAAACCTACACATCCAAATATTATTAGTATCTTAAGGTGCCTAATAAAATATATGTCATATCGCAGGTATATATACACATAAATTTTCCGAAGTTAATGAGTGCATGTGCACCTTTAACAGGACACGTGAGTCCGCCTCTGCATAAAATGTATTAAAACGATCTTTAATATTGTGATTTTAAACATGTAAGGTGAAAAAGTTGAAATTACAAAGTTGCGCTAAACAAAAATAAAAAAAATGACATTTTTTTAAAAAGTAGATCAAAAAATAAATTAAAATAGAGGGGGTATTTAGAAGGTGACAGTTGATATAAACTATAGTGAAATAATTTGTACTCAAAACTAATAACATGCGGGAAAACAAAAGCAAGAACAACAAAGTCGCCTAAATTTCCGAATCAACGATTATTCCCCCTATTTCCTGCATATTCTTTTTTATTTGATTAAAATCCAGTATCTTCATCTTCCACATAATTAAAAAAAAATTAAAAAAACTTCTGCAAAATTTGATATAGATAAAACAAAATAAGAAAATTAAAGATTAGAGAGAAATAATGATTCCACAGCAATGGGCACCACCTTGTAACAAGCAATGCACAAATAAATTCTCAGCCCTCACCCAAATTCCTTGTAATTTACTCTCTTAATTCCCCCTTTTTCTTGTAATTTAAAGTTTTAATATTTGTGTTAATAGTTCCAATTGAGCATGCCTAGCAAAAAATATTTGAACTTGTACCATCATCGCTCATAAGTATCAAGTAATTCGATTAATCATTAACCATTTAGTAGGATCATGGAATAAGATGGCCCAACATAGAGAATTTCGTATAGTTGGACCTAACTAGTTTGAGATTGAGACGTAATTGACTGTTCAAAATTCACCCATGTTGAAAAATTGTAAGTTAGAATAATGACTTGTTTTAAGCTTGAAAATGTTACTGCATAAGTAGATCAATTTTATCTTCTTTTTTTTATATACTTCGACTCATAGATGATGCATTTCATTCATTTGTTGTTTTAAACAGGAAATTCTACCAAAATTTTATGATGTGTAAATTTTTGTAGGGAGAGTTTTTTGCAAAAAGGCGTGTGATGCTGATGGCGATACATGGGAGGAATGTAAGTTCCTGAACTTTATTGGTTTCTATGTTGCAGATTTTTAGTACCATTTAGTTAGTTGTGAACAAGGAACATTCAAATTTGTAAAATGATATAGGAAAGGTTAAGACGTTTATTCAATAGAGTAATTGATGGTTAATTAGGAACCTTGATGTTTGTCTATTCAATTTAAGGTAGAATAGAAATGAAAAGGTATGTGCAGGTTTGGAACAATGCGATGAGATGTGCTATAAGGGCCCTGTTATGAAGGATCAACAATGGAGTGCTTGTATTGATCGCGCCCCTGGTTCTGCTAGCCACTCTGAGGTTTACCATCTCTTCATTTCATTTTATTACCCTGAAATTTGGTGTCTTTTAACACTTGTTATTCAACATGTGTGTTCTTTTATGGATGCAGGATTGTCATCGCGCTTGTGTAGCTGGTTGTGGTTTCAAGGTCAGTTTGTTGTATTATATGTTGATGATCAAAATAGTCGTAAGTTTTGTTAATTGTTACTTTTCTCAATCCTTGCTGCCACTCTGTTTGTGAGGACTAGGAAGAGTAAGAATGCCTATGCAATTCATGCCCATTGGTTAGAGGTGGATCTAGGATGAGTATTGCAGGTTCATCTGAACCCAAACATATAATATAATAAGATCACGTTCATTCTGAACACTCACTAACTCTAGATGTTACGTTAGCCTATTACCATCTTGCTTTATTGGATGCTGTCAAATGTTTCATTTTTATCTTACTGTTTGCTTGTGCAGTTTGATATCCCTCCTGAGGAAGTAAATAAAATCCAATCAAACAGGTCTTCCAAGATCCAGCTGATAAAAACAAGTCCACCCCCTAAAGCCACTTGAAGATTTTCTTTATGCATGAACTAATTGTAATGGGCAAGAAAAGCATATATATAATTTATTCTACTAGCTAGGATTACTACTATAGTTCAAAGATTTGTTCTACACCAGATAACATGGGGTGAAAGTTGATTTTTGATACTTATAGTTTCATTATGAATATCTCTGGCGGAAACAATTTCTCTACCCTCCAAAGGTACAATTAAGGTCATTTGTGTATATTCTATCCTAATTCAAATGGGTATATTATTGTTGTAGCTTCATTATGCAAATAGAAGTGTTGACCTTTTCTTTTTGTAACATTTTCTTAATTTAATGTCATACAACAATAATGTAATTGAATTTTTATACTATTAATTACTTAAAAGATAACTATACGTAATTGCTCGCAAAGTTAAAATTTTATGCACTTATAAATTACTACGTAATTATGTGAGTAAATCTTTTATGAAAATATTGATTGGTAACTAATAATTTATCGGAGGGTAAACTACACTAATAATGTGAAAATTATTTACATCATTTATACCATCAAAACATTTAATTTAAATTGTTAATCATAATGAAGATAGTTACCTGAAAAATATGGGAGATACGTGACAACTTGCTTACAATAGGTTTGAGAAGCTTCGACTTTTGGAATTTTCATAAACATTCGAGAATTTAATTTATAGAGTTTCACCCGAGAAATTTGAAACTATATAACAAAATTATTTTTCAATACCGTATCTATGATACCAAGTGGTCCAATTCATATTGGGCCTTGAAAGTTTCTGGCCCAAATAGCAAGAGGAGAAAGAGCCTTTCATCTCCCGAGTCGGGTTTAATACATAAATCTACAGTTTCTGTAATGTTTATGAATCCGGCGGTATATGTATTAGCAGAAGTAGTGGAGAATCATCATTCAGCAAAGCGAAAACCCTAGATTGAGAAATTGAAGTATTGAAAACCTTTATTTGATCTATAACAACAATGCCGCAAGTGAAGATCGTCGCCAGGAATTTCATGGACATGGTGGCTTCATTGCCTGTCATGAAACTCGACATGCTTTACGACAATTCCTTTATCTGTGAAGCCATTCTTAGGTATTCTAAAAATCCCCAATTTGATCGAATGTTAAGAGTTTTTCTTGTTGCACAACCATTTATATTTGTGCAGAGCTTTGTTTTGATTACTTTCTGCAAGTAAAAATGGATGTAATTTCACCAATTTAGCATATAGTGATATGTACTGTGCACATTTGGATGCAAAAGAAGTTTACTTTGTCTTTAAGCTTATTATTCTGGAGAAATGAACTTAGTCATAAAAGGATGAAGTTAATCAGCAGCAAGTGCTGTGCTGACACAAGTATAAACATACACAAGCACAAATTTTTAATGTTTGAATATTTTTATAGAAAGTATTTGTACTTTTTTGTATCAATTGCAACAAGAGATTGATTAATTCACTAGTACTTAGCACTCACTGTATTCACCTCGAGCTATATCAAGGAAATTCACTTTTGGTGATACTATTTTGAAACATGCTATATTATGTGCTTAATTTGTTCATTTCTTCTGCTAGATCGTTACCTCCCTTAGCGAAGAAGTATGTGCTGCAAATGTTGTATATAGACATACCAATTACAGCTAAGTCGATGGAGGAGTGGGTGCTTCCAGATGGATTCTCAAAGCATAAAGTTGCCATTGATAGATTGATACAGCTGAGAGTAATGACGGAAACATTTGACAGGTTATTGAGCAGATTCTTCTCTCTCTTGATAGCCACTATATTTCTCTGTCTTGAATAATGCTGACCTATAACAACATTTGACACTTAAATTTTTATTTGGCTGTTATAAGCAAAAAAGAGATGCAAAAAATCTAATTTTTAATGTGATAAAAGAGGATAAACTTATTAAATTTAAAATCTCAGAAGTAATCATATTTCAGCAATTCAAAATTAAAGAATGCTTATACATCATTAATAATTTTTGACTCATACAAGATGGAGTTTTTTTCTCTAATGGAATACAAAGTCACCGCCTGTTGATTTAAATTTTCCTCCTCAGCCGAAGGCGGATGCTATATAGAGGTCTGACTGTATTTACTTTTCCCGCTTGATCTTTATCTGGTTGTCATGTTTTTCACTTAGCACTTTAAATAATGACACATGAGTAAAATTAAAACTTTGGTCAAAATAAGCAAGCATGATTAAAGGGAATATCTTGAATTGTCAATACTTGCTTATCTTTCTTTTGTTTTTATCATGTCTCAACTATTGGAATGACGAAACCTGGTTAGGGTGATTCACAATTTCTTTGCATGTTATTTTGGTCAGTTTTTGGTTGTTTAGTGTTGCCATTCTCTTTGATTTCTTACAGGAAAAAGGAAGCCACTTATCAACTAAACCCAAAATTTCAATTTAATCTTCAGAAGCATATAGTCCATGGGTAAGCTTTATTATCTTATTTATTATATTTTCTCTATAAGTGTTAATGATCACTATTGGCTGGCCTTCTCTGAGACGGGTGATTTAAAAATAAAAGTACATGTAAAATTAGTAGAAGTACTAGGACATTCGGCGTCTAGACACCAGATTCCTGGCCTATTAATCCCTGTCTCAAGGGAACGAGTTGTGGTTTTCTTATATGGTATTGGGTTCTCCTCCCTTCATGTGCTAACTTTTAGGGTTGAGTTAGGGCCAAGGTTCAGTTTCATCATATGGTATCACTGTATCAGAGCCCGACCTAACAATCCCTATTGTTGTGTTTCTCAATGTTGAGTCTCCGTGTTATGTTATCCAACTCTGGTTGTGTTGTCCTGTGTGAGTGTGAAATCCCACCCTGATTGAGGGAATGAATTGTGGTGCCTTAATGTTGTCTTGGGATATCCTCCTATCATGAGCTGACAATCCCTCCCTTCATGAGTTGACTTTTGGGGTTGAGTTAAGCCCAAGAGCCATTTCTTCACGCATTTGCATATTTGAATAAAGTTGACTGCAACTAGTTTGGGGTTGATCGATTGAGGCATAGTTATTATTATTGTTGTTGTTGGATAAGTATATTCACACTTGTGTATGTGTTCCATCTTATTCATCCTATATGATTTTTTTATTTGTCTTGCTAAATTTCCAACTGGGCTGAAGTTCAGAATTTAACCCTGATACATTGACCCTCAGTTGACCAGTAAGATGCTATACTTGATACAGTAACTTGTTGTGGTAATACTTCTACATGATGCTGAAATATCTGCCATATCCTTGGTCTCGTAATTGCACAATATGGATTATAATATGTGATTTCAATTACTGTAGTGGAATCTTACCAAGGGAACCAATGCCTTCTAATATCACTGTGAGGCTTCCTAGCTTGGAGGAGTTAGAGGCATATGCTGTTGAACAATGGGAGGTATGACTTGCATTTTGTTAGTAGTTCTTGTCCATTGATTTTCCGGGAGTGTTCAGAATATGTAATAATATGTTGTGAGACAATCTGCTTTGCTTTCGGTTTTGATCAAACTGCAGCCTGTATATAATTTTGGCAACTCTTTTTATGACTTGCAACTGTCGCAACCAGTGCTTTCTGCTGAACCTTATAAGCTCCAGTGAAGGTGGAAAGACCACAAACATAAGCTCTTCGATGATGAAAATCTTCCAGCGTGGACTTTTAAGTCAGAGGTACCGGCCACTTCAGTATTATGGATATATATCTACTCACACATAACATATGTATAGTTCTTTGTCCGCATGTGTATGGATGATTTTGTAATAATCAACATAATCTCCATGAGTTCATGCCTTCTTAAACAGAGACGATAGAGAACCTCCAAGGTTGACTGAAAGTGGGTTCCAGTTCTTGGTACGAGTTACTGAATTATCTCGATCAATCAGTTTTTTTTTTTTTGGATATTGTATTGACTGTGGCGTATTACAGCTAATGGACACAAATGCACAGCTTTGGTACATCATCAGGGAGTACATAACAAATGCTGAGGTATTGCTGACCACCTCCTTCTCTCTCTGCATGTGTGTGTGTGTGTCTCTCTCTCTCTCTTCGGGTTTGGTTTTGCATTGGAAGCACCATTGGTTCATTGGGTGGTGTTGTAATTCAATTACATTTGACATTTGCGGCTAGTTTTCTGATAAGACTTTGAAGATAAGGAGGTAGGTGGGGAGGAAATCTCAGAGATGCAGCTTCGGCCTTTGTAGAGCTTGCTGATTATATCGCCTACACTGTCTCTCTAAGGTCGTCAAAGCGTAAGCATTCCCAAGCCTGAATAAAGGAAGAGAGTTGAGGGAAACCGGTGGCCAATGTAAAAATAGTCAAACTATTTTGAATCATTTGAATACTGAAAAAATGTGCAGAATGGATACAGGTGATTCATACAAGAACATATAGCTAACCCCAATTAGTTTGGGGACTGGAACCTAGTTGAGTTGAGCTCATTAGTTCCACCTCAGATTTTATTGTTGTTGATCACATATTTTAGGCACTCTTTCCTTGTTTCCTTATCTCTGTAAATTAGTTAATACAAGCAAGAATCAAGAGGATATTCCCTCTTTGATTCAAAATTTTGGTTGAGAAGATATTGTGCATATGGCCATAATTTCGATTGTCGAGTATGGACTTCCATTTGTCTAACTTCTGGAAAATTTAATGTAATTTACTAAATGATTACTCTGTATTTTCGTATTAATGCAGGAGCGAGGAGTGGATTCAGCAGATCTTATTGCATTTCTGTTGGAGCTAAGCTTTCATGTTACTGGCAAGGTATTACTAGACAGTGCTAGAGGTTCTTGAATTAAGTTTGTCCTGGAGCTGTAGTAAATGATACCATCTTTAAACTCTAAATGCTTGAATTTTAGTTAGTTCTGGAGCGCTTTGGTGTTTGGTTGAAAAGTAGTGAAGTTGTTTTTGCAGAAAGTTTTGTACTTTGTCTTAAAAAAACAATATTTGAAAAACTGAAAAATACTGTGAAAAAGTCTTTCAACCATTTCCCCAACCAAACGGTTGTAATCTTCAT